CTTTACTTCTTTATTTACTGTTCTATGTTTTAAAAAAAATAAGTTTAAGAACTTATTTGTAAATAATAATAATGTATATACATATATTTAATGTATAATAATTGAAATGTGACTGTATTTTACAAAATACTAGTCTACTAAAACACAGCCAAGACAGGTCATTTTGTAAAGACTAAAGCTCAGTCATATATTATTGGATACATAAACATGAGTGCACGTGCACTGTGTTATTGTAACTTCTGTTTTGTTAGACAGGCATGGCTGGAAGGTCAATATAATGTGTTTTCTTTCATGTTATAATTTATGTTCTTTCTAGAATGAAAAAAGCATAATTTATCTATTTTTTCCTAATTTTTTATTGAGGTTACAAAGTCAGTTAAATCGAAACAACCCATACAAAAAAGTTTATTCTAAAAACAATTTTATAATTATCTGGAGATTATAAAGATTTCACATGTGAAATTTTAAAACATTCTAATGCATTAAAGTATTTTTAAGCTTAAAATCAAAACTGCTTTGTATGTTGGATAGTCAACATTGTGAGAGAGATAGAGAGAGAGAAAAAAGGTTTACGAGAAAATCTTTATACTTAATTTAAAAACCTGATATTTCGTAAAGATGTGCATACATTATGAAAAATCATAATATAATTACTCTCATGGTTACGAGCTGGGTGGATGACACCCAGCCCGTAATGCAATGCTGAATTCACTGTAATTTTAACTTGAGAATGATCGCACCAGTGATTGAAACCTGTTTTAAAAACATACTTCTTTATGGTAAAAAGCTGTAGTAAAATAGAAAACATTATCAGCTTATTAAGCGGTGCTGATTTCGCTTTAACACTGCTACAAACACTAGAAAAATATTGTCAGCTTCATATTGTCATAAACCAAATTTACAACCTTCCATTTACTATGATTAAAGGCCATCTTCCAATTATTTACCAAACTTACAAACTGATCTAAGTCATCTCAACATAGCTAGAAATACACAAGATTTTAATGTGATCAGTAAACTTTGCTAATTTATTAATTATGCTTACATAAATATCATTAATCTAAACAATAGAAAGCAAAGACTCAAAAACTAACCCCCCCGAGATATTATGTTAGCAAAACAACCTAGTTTAACTGGAGTCCTTTAATAACCTTTTGTGTTCTTTCATCTAGCTACCCTACAATCTAATCAGAGATGTGATCTGACCTCCTTTAAAATTCTTGGGAAAATATTAATTAGGAATGTGAGAAAAAAATGGAATCGTTAAGGTATTATGTAAGAACAACCCATTTTTTAGGGCACAAACTAATACAGTACTATACTAAAAAAACGGCAACCTGAGTAAAACACTACCTTATCTCCCACAACAACATCAAACTCTACAGTCTCTCCATCTCCTACACTCCGTACAATCTTCTTTGGGTTGTTTTTTATTATAGCTGTCTATAGGAAGAAAGAAACTGATAATTTTAGGTTCCATGATAAATAAATTAATGAAAAAAAAATGTACTAAACATAAAACTAATGCAAAAATAGTTTTATTCATTACCACATTGGACTTAAGAACCGACCTTACGACTTCTGAAAGCATCTTTACAGTTTTTAAATGATTAACAGTGTGTCTTTCAAATAACAAACAAATTCACTTAAAAATACTTGGGAGGCACACAAGAATCCTCATTTTAACCATTTGTTAGGTTAAAATTTACTGGGGACTCCAAGTAAGTTTGTTTTAATAAAGTATTTTTAGCAGTGAAGTCTAAAGTAATTATCTGACTTTAGAAGTAAATTAGTGTTAGGTGTGATTTCAATTACAGGATGGCCAGATTCTTTTTAATTTTTTTTTCGCCCAACTTTAAAGCAAAATTCCAGATTTTCTAGGCCTACACACTCACTGGTACTTCAACTTTTCCTCATAATCTCATTGAAACCACTTCTGCCCATCATCTGGTTGGGTAACAACAGCTTGAAAACTTTGGTACTACGGAGAAAGAACTTTAAACAATAACAATTTAACGGTAGATGAGAAAATGTTATTTTTATACAAGAAAGAATTCTTGACCGAAAGTATCACCAAGTATAATAAATTAGATGATTATTAACAAATAGAATGACCGAGTGACCGACAAGATACGTTAAAACAATAAGTGACATAACTAAATGCACATACAATTTCGAGATATAAAAAACAAAATGGAGGCGGTATAATTTTACTCGTTACGAGATAATGTTTTAATTTTCCCTCGACTTTTTTTGGCCCCTTCTCAAATTCCCCGATTTTTCAAGGATCAAACTTATTGTGACTTAATTAAACCTGTGAAACTTTTGGTGACATGTTCACAAAGAAGTTTAATATTACACACCTCTCTTTTTTAAAAGAAAATCCATGTTTTATACAAGACAATTTCTGTGAGAATCTAAATAAATACCACTTTTGTACCATATTAAAACAACTGCACCATTAAATAAGTATAAAAATTAAGTCAAAATCTGCTAACTTTGTATCAATATTTTAATCCATTCACTGTGGCTGGGACATACATTTCCTAGTGCTCCCGCCCCCCACCCCCTCATACTGCAGTTGGGACAAATGTTTCCCACTGTCAACACTGTTAATGTCCCCCTCCCACTGCAGCTGGGACAAATGTTTCCCACTGTCAACACTGTTAATGTCCCTCTCACACTGCAGCTGGGACAAATGTTTCCCACTGTCAACACTGTTAAGGTCCCCCTCACACTGCAGCTGAGACAAATGTTTCCCACTGTCAACACTGTTAATGTCCCCCTCACACTGCAGCTGAGACAAATGTTTCCCACTGTAAACACTGTTAATGTCCCCCTCACACTGCAGCTAAGACAAATGTTTCCCACTGTCAACACTGTTAATGTCTTCCTCACACTGCAGCTGAGACAAATGTTTCCCATTGTCAACACTGTTAATGTCCCCCTCCCACTGCAGCTGAGACAAATGTTTCCCACTGTCAACACTGTTAATGTCCCCCTCCCACTGCAGCTGAGACAAATGTTTCCCACTGTCAACACTGTTAATGTCTTCTTCTGCTGGGTCCAGGTTCATCATCTTGACTATCACCACTAGATGGAGAGCTGGCATCCTCTTGTCTCATTGACTCTTCATCATCACACATTTGCACACTATTTGACTCACTTTCACTATCTTCTAAGCTATCTGAGTCAATATCATCAAGCATATTAACATAGTAATGAGGGTTACTACTTGCCACTCTAGTGATGCAGGCACGGCCGACACACAGTTGTCGTACATTTCGCTTAGGCATCTTGTTGGTTACTGAGTGTAAAACCTTGAGGGAAATCCTATATCAACATTAGGTGGGATGGCAAAAATTTGCCTCAGTCGAGGCATGGAGGGGGGGGGGGGGAGCAATGGAAAGTATACTTCCCAGCCACAATGAAAGGATTAACATTAGGTTTTATGACTGAATTCAAAGTAGAGCATTATTTTCACAATTCTTATTCTAAATTTTGGTCAGATGTGAAAGAATATCTTTCGTTAAACTTTCCACTGGTTATTTCTAGCTTCTTACTTACCCACCCTCGAGGAGTACATAACTACAACCACCTACCAGAGTTGTGCTTAACCCCACTCAACTACTCTTGAAGCATGCTTAACTACACCCAACTACCTACAATCTGTGATTAACTACATCCAAAACTCATGAACATTTACTATCTAACAGGTGACAATCATTAATGGATATACAAGATTGAACACTAAGATTATGTGGCAAGAAACAGTTCAGAATACAGGAAATTTTAAAATATTATTCTAAAATCAAAACTCTAATAATTACTACCATTTTCAAAATTCTAACTAACAGAAAAAAACACAAAGAAACTTATTGTCAACATCATTTTAAGGTTCGAATACACAACTGAACTGTAACAAATGATCTTAACTCTGAAGAGATCAGCTCAACACATTTCTTGATATAATATTTCTTTGTAGGTATTGATACTTTCAACTTTTGAATAGCTTTATCTTATTCTGGGCATTCACAATATTATAAAGTGGCATCATTTGTGTAAGTAGCAAATACTGGGAGCAACTTAACCTTCTGTTTACAGACTTGTTTAATACAATTCACAATTGGCAAGATCTACATATTATATGATATACGATAACTATGTGTTTGTTTGTCAAAACATAGTTAAAAACTGAATGAACAATTGGTGTAAAAAAATGAGGACCCCAACACTAATTAGTCGGATCAACCACGAGGACCCCAACGCTAATTAGTCGGATCAACCACGAGGACCCCAACACTAATTAGTCGGATCAACCACGAGGACCCCAACACTAATTAGTCGGATTAACCACGAGGACCCCAACACTAATTAGTCGGATCAACCACGAGGACCCCAACACTAATTAGTCAGATCAACCACGAGGACCCCAACACTAATTAGTCGGATTAACCACGAGGACCCCAACAGTAATTAGTCGGATTAACCACGAGGACCCCAACAGTAATTAGTCGGATTAACCACGAGGACCCAAACAGTAATTAGTCGGATTAACCACGAGGACCCAAACAGTAATTAGTCGGATTAACCACGAGGACCCCAACAGTAATTAGAGGGACTAACCATGAGGACCCCAATACTGGGATCATTTGCAATATTGATTGTATTAATATATTTATTTTTTTGTGTGTGTGTGTGTGTGTGTGTGTGTGTGTATGCCTTCCATTATTTGAGTCACAACAAGGATGAGGACCCAAAAGCAGTTTGATGCATAAACAGAAAAATGTTTCAAAGCCAACTGGGTTCACATAATTACATGGTTAAACATGGGGAAAAAATGAGCATTTTTAAACAGAGGTGTTATAAAAAACTTCTTAAGCAAAACCAAAATACCATACACAGTTTTTAAAAACATTTAAAACTGGTAAATCACGATTAAAGCAAGACCAGGCAACTCAAATCTAGTGACCAGAAATAATTAGTTGATCAGATCACTTTAATCATTATTTATCTATTTTAATCTTTTTATAATTTCTCACATTTTTTTCACATACCTGATGAACAAAGATGTCTTCTTTAGTATCAAGTCTTCATCGCACAAAAAAAAAGTTAATAACATGATTATTAAAAATTATAAACATGCAGATCTTGGTATATTTAAACTTTGTCACACATAAAACTGAGACTTGAAACATGTGCAAAGCCATTCCAAACATTAAAGCAATAAACACAGTTTCATCCGTAGCAAGAAAGTTTTTATTTATTGAAACATTTGAAGAGACTGCACGACAAGTTTGATTCTATCTGTTATCAGAATAGTTCACAGTGGAAAAGACATGACAATCTGATATAAAACAAAATATAATTATGTTGGAAACACACCACAGCCTTCCTACCCCTGACAGGTACTCAAAATAGTCAACCAACAGTTATTACCTAGTTTTAACTCAAGCCCCACTTACCTGTACTATCTAACACTCAAAATAAGCACATTAATCAACCAACAGTTATTACTGAGTTTTAACTCAAGCCCCACTTACCTGTACAATCTAACACTCAAAATAAGCACATTAATCAACCAACAGTTATTACCTAGTTTTAACTCAAGCCCCACTTACCTGTACTATCTAACACTCAAAATAAGCACATTAACCAACCAATCGTTATTACCTAGTTTTGGCTAGTTAAGCCTGACTTGCTGTATCATAATTAGGTAGCTTTATTTGAATGGTAGATAATATCAATCTACAGACACTTAAAACAATAACATGCTAAATGTCAAGGTGTAAATACTTAGGAACATTCATCTTATATTAGCATGACACTTTGGTTAGAACTTACTTTGTCAAGGTGTAAATACTTAGGTACATTCATCTTATATTAGCATGACACTTTGGTTAGAACTTACTTTGTCAAAGTGTAAATATTTAGGAACATTCATCTTATATTAGCATGACACTTTGGTTAGAACTTACTTTGTCAAAGTGTAAATATTTAGGAACATTCATCTTATATTAGCATGACACTTTGGTTAGAACTTACTTTGTCACGTGCATTTAAACAACTAGATTTAAAGGCACTTTTAAGTATTTCAGCAATTCAAAAAAGGAATTAAAATGATAAAGATAAATTAACAATAATTACAAAAGGATCTGTACAGGGTGTGGACACAATAGGTTAATTTACAAATGATGGGCCTCAAATCTTTACTGGGGCCATCACTACTCTGCATTTATAGAAATAATTCTGATAAGAACATAACCAAGAAAATGGTTAAGTTTGCTAACGATATGAAAATCTACAGTATGGCTGGCTGTAATGAGCATTTTATGATTATAGAGAGAGACTTGGATCAATTTGTTAGGGCCTGGCATAGCCCGGCAGTTAGGGCACTCGATTCCCAACCTGAAAATCCCTTAGTTCAAATCCCTGTTGCCAAACATCTTTGTCCTATAGAGTTGCCAACTGGATGTAAAAATTACTAGCTGACCTGAAACTAGTTGGGATTAAGGTCATTACAGAGAAGAAGGCGATGACTTAGATCAATTATGTGTTTTACATGGAAAATATTCTTAATTATGTGGATGAGAATTTCATTTAGAATTTGGGTTTATTGATTGATTGATACAGCACTTACATCATTTGAAAGGGTGTTCTTTTGTGAGCAGTAAAGCTAACAGAATTTTGAGTTGTGTCATATAAGTAATAAATTTTATGTATAGCCATATCAACAAGATGAAAGCAGCCAGTACCTAACTATGCATGTTAAAAATTTACAACTGTGTTAAACTGTAGACACTTGTGTAGTAAGGACATTTTTAAAGTGAGTAAATCTTCACAAGTGTACAACGTCCCCCATACATCTAAAGTGTACAACGTCCCCATACATCTAAAGTGTATAACATCCCCATACATCTAAAGTGTATAACATCCCCATACATCTAAAGTGTATAACATCCCCATACATCTAAAGTGTATAATATCCCCAAGTATTCACAAGTGATAATGCATTATAAATACTTCGCATATATTAAAAAAGTATTAACATAAAAAGTTAAGTATTTACAAAAGATACATGTAGTATGTACAATACTAACAAACACGTTCTATAAGATTTCAATATGTGGTTTACATAGCTGGTATAAAATGTTCCTTCCTACAAAGAATGACAAGAAAGATACTCTAGTCCATAATATTCTCGTGTCTTACCACTTCCTCTTCACTTACTGAACTGGGTGGTCAGTTTTTTCCATAAAATTTGTTTTTGAATGACTAAAACATATCTTAAACTACAAAAACACTAAAACTAGGTTTTACTGCTGAAACTGGGCATTTCAGAAAATGAAAGTCTAGTATGTAAATATTGCAACACACAAACCAACCTGTTAATAAAGCCGTATCCGTTCTTTACATTGAACCATTTCACTGTTCCCGTCACGTGGGTCGCTGGAAATAAAACATAGCAACAACTAATGTAAATATACTCCCATAAAAACTACCTACACATCTAATTAGACACTATGGTTCAGTAACTAACAACAGATAGCTAAATAAAGCTGATATTTTGTTACAAAAAGCTTAGACTTATTAGGGTTAATATGGAACAAAGGACACTATGGTTCAGTAACTAACAACAGCTAGCTAAATAAAGCTGATATTTTGTTACAAAAGCTTAGACTTATTAGGGTTAATATGGAACAAAGAACATCATGCTAGTTACTGTCTCAGAAGTAGTACTACTGAGATTTAAGAAATTACTAATATTAACTCATTCTATACTTCAAGTGCTTCATCCTGTATTTTTTTCTTCAAATAAATCAAGCAAGAATGTGCTTGTATAAAATTATATTTTTGGTTTTAAAAATTGTGATCAAGATATTTTTGAATCACGTAAACTAACACTTAAAACTTACACAGTTCTTTACTTCATTTGATTTAACCACATAAAAAAAAAACCCTGATAAAACACCAGCTTTCTGATAGGTGGACTTGAAAGAAGAAGTTTCATCTTTTTTATTATTTTTTTTAAACAAGTTATACCAACTTTTTTTGTTATCTTACATGAAAATAACTATCATTCATTTTATTTAATATATTATGTCATTAGTGCTTGTGCTGATATAATACTGACCACATCAGTAACACAGTGTTTTAAGCCTCTTTAGTGAAATCAGCAAGCCCAATAAAAACAAAATTTACACAGGTTCGATGTACGTCTCCTAATGGTCCTAAAGATGCTACTCAAACAACTGAGCCAAAGCTCAGCCCACTGGTTAACATACATAACAGTACAGACTCAAAGAAAGCCCGAGGTTGATAAAATTTGGTGATAGCCTGTTGCATGTATATTACCCTTCAAGCACAAACTGCTTTGTTCATACTTGGCTTGTAAGACTTTCATTGCCACTAATCCTATCAAAAACAAAATTCAGCGTTCAGTTTATATGATAAATCAGCTTTAATACATTAGGACGGCTCACTCCTAAGTGAACATATCAGAATCAGATTTCATTATATATGTATTATTGGTCATCAAAGGACTTTTGTCCCATCACATCTTTTCTCAACAAATAGAAAACTAACCATGAAATCCAGCCCTGATCCTTCAATTATTCATCTTAAACTTTAGATTTTAATTTATTACACAAGTTTTCCTCTGCTGGAACAAGAATCTGCACTTTCTGGAAATATATAGACCAATTTAAACTTTAAATTTGACCTCTTGTCCTACTGGCCTCAAAGTTCAGCAAAAAACATAAGCAATATTGATCTCAACAGATGGGCCAAGGATTGTTTAATTAGTATTGGAGATTATTAAGGAAAATGTTCAAGACAGAACATCTCATCAGATGGGCCAAGGATTGTTTAATTAGTATTGGAGATTATTAAGGAAAATCTTCAAGACAGAAAAAGGTCTTTGTTTTGTTGTAATGGAAAGCTACACAAAGATCTTGTTGGTGATCACAATGAGCTATTCTATCAAGCATAAGGGGAAAAACAAAAAGATTTTAGAATTGCAAGTCTCTAAACTCATTGCTGACCTACTGAGAGACAAGTTAACGTTTTCTGGAAAAATGGTGTGCCAGTGAGACCTGTCAATTTTCTTCTTCTCACAGTGGAAACACTTCACCAAACTGCATGAATGTCAGTAAAAATTTCCTAAATAGTATCTTGTTTCAGCTAAAAAACAATCTGATTTAGCTGTTCTATGATTTTTTTTTAAAGCTTCCAACATTTTATTAAAATACTGTTTTGATGAGACACTAAAAAACACTTTCTTTCATACAAGTTGTTTTTTTACTTATTCATCAGAAGGTTACATTTTATATATATACATTTAGTTTCAAATTGACTGATATTCACTGAACATAGTGAAAACTAATAAAGATTTATTGCTGATCTATGACCTGACTTTTCACAACAGCATCGGGTCAGGCTAGATAATATTTTACTGACAACATTCTTGGTCGATATCAATTTATATTTAATAAATACAGTATATTTTCAATAAATAGTGAGTTATTTTACTTATCTACATTCTTTGAAAATGATACCAATATTAAATAAATAAGGAATTGAGTTTTTGCAATATTTTGCACTTGCCTACCATATTATCTAAAACAAACTGGGCTTAACTGATGTCTTGGTATAGACAATTTCCAGTTTTCAAATAAATATAATTCAACACTATTTTGAGAAATAAGAACATCCAAAGAAACTATAAAACAATTCCCAAGTTTTCTAAACTTTTTACCAAATTTAGTTTTTCTCAGTAAGAGCTATATCGATTCATTTTAGAGAAAAACCATAAATTGCTTCTCGTGTTAACCTGAATATTTTATAACCTGTTTCACGTCAACAGTATCGAATTCAACCATCCTCAGATCCATAGTTTTGTTTTCCTGCATCACACAAGAAAACAAAACTAACAAATAGAATAGTTTAAAACTTCAGAACTTTATACAAATTATATAGCTTCTGCAAGTACCTCACTTTTATATCTGATATTTGTATGAATTTGCAGATGCGAAACTTCTGAAATATTTCATGTTGTGATACAATTTTTTAAAGAAATAATAAAAATTTATACTCTTGTAAATTTGAATTACTGATTTTTATATTTTCCTACATTGTTGTAAAACTTTCATATACAGTGTTTATTTCATAGAACTGTAAATTTTATATTTGGTTTGATTTAATAAATGCCACATGCAGTTCGCCGTATTTATGATGACCGACATACAATAATTTTTTACCATACAAAATTATAAACAAACCAATTTTTTTTTACAAATTCTTAACCTTAAGATTTATCTTAATATATGTAATACGTTTTAAACATTATGTGTACATATACATTTCTTTTCGTTATTTTCTTTGATCATACGAGCCAGTTACGCAGGCCAGTAAAGCCAAGTATAAATGAGGGGCCAAACAAAGTGGTTTTGTCGGTGAAACAAAACTTGACATGGGTGAGTGCAAAGTAATGTAATTAATCCTAACTTTTCATAAAAAATATTCCATTTCTCAATACATCATAATTCAAGTGTAGTATAAAATGATAAACTTAGCTTTTAGCACACATGAACAGGATTGTAACTGTGGTGAAAGTTGCTTACAAACACCTTTCTTGTAGCAACACAACACCAAGCTAAACATCTGTCACTTTACTCCAAACTCTACACTAATCCACTGAATTGGAGAAGCCATACTGGTTAATACAGTTGAAAATAATGGAAAAAAAAGCTTTCATCATGTGTTAAATCACTAGCCTATGACCTCAAAGCTTTCATCGCATGTTAAAATCACTAGCCTATGACTTCAAAGCTTTAATCACGTGTTTAAATCACTAGCCTATGACTTCAAAGCGTCATAGGCTAGTGATTTAAACATGATAAAGCTTTGAAGTCATAGGCTAGTGATTTAAACACGTTTTCAAAGCTTTCATCACGTGGTTAAATCACTAGCCTATGACTTCAAAGCATTCATCACATACTTTAGATCACTAGCCTATGACTTCAAAGCTTTAATCATGTTTAAATCACTAGCCTATGACTTCAAAGCTTTAATCATGGTTAAATCACTAGCCTATGACTTCAAAGCTTTAATCATGGTTAAATCACTAGCCTATGACT